CCACAGTATGTAACGTCAATGGTTTCAACCGATCTTTAACTCAATGTGGCGAGTTGATGAATTACTTGTAAGAGATTATTAGCGGCTGAACATCTGCCTAATGTGGCACTAGCCTTACAATTTTAAAAAAGAAGATATTTCACTTGGGATTTTTTAGTTTTTGTTGGTCGGCTCCTTTCTGTAAAATTAATTTTAGCATTGTTTGGTTAAAAATAATTTATTGTTAAGAGAAGTAGGTAAAAAATACATACTGTCGTTTTATTTTATTCTACTATCATCGGTTCCACCCACTCCACTGAATCCATCCACATTGTCGTCGTTGTTCGCGCCGTTTATAGGTTCATAAAATTGCATGCAATCGTTCGGAATTAAGTGCATTACAGATTTTTTTTTCTTCTATCTTTGGATTTTATACTTTTTCCTTTAAGCCACACTGGTATTAGCAAGTCTTTAAATAATGCTGGGCGACCCATTTGTTTGTCTGATATCTATTTCAGCTTACGTGTTTTTCAGAAACATTGAAAATAGTTTTTTTATCCAGAAGTATCTTACGTGTTTCTAAACAACTAAAACTTTTTTATTCTGAACATCCATTTTTCTATTTATTATCTTAATACACGATTTACCTGAACAAACATTGGGCTTTCCTTCTACTATCCAATAGCTTTTGTCATCAGAAGAATTCTTTGTGTGTGTCATCGGCTTTAACTGCTAAGGTTATTTCGCCTCGTGTTCTGTGTAGGCTTTGTTACTGTTTTTCAGCGCCACTTTAGGAACAGCACTGTTAATTAGAACCTAACAGTGAATGGTCGAGTGGGGAATCCTACTAAGGCATCAGAATTAATTTTAAACAAATAAATGAAAAAAATCCCGGCCAACGGTGGGATTCAAACCTGGGACCCTTGGATCCGCAGGCAGAGACTCTACTACTGAGCCACTCACCCAATATTATCATTCATATTGTATTACAAAAATATTCGTTTTTCAAGTTTTAATACTTCACACATACAGAGAACCAAATAACGAACTGTCACCAACTCTCTTTTCTATTATGCAGAAAGCAACCAAGCCGCTTGGATTGCTTCTGCAGGTAGGTTACTTGCTTAACCAACCTAGTCGGTTGATTCATTGGCAACAAATAACGCTAGGTACCAGAATGTGGCGTGGATCTTTTTTTGCAGTAAAGGTTACGGTTCTTAATGCAATATTATGCGAAAGTCACAAGTTTGTGGCAAAAAGTCGTCCAATAAGACATCAAAAGGGACAAGCAGTCCTCATATATGCAACCAAGAATACATGCTCTAATAACATTTACTACTACTTGGTTGACCTTGTCACAGCTATCGGAAAGACAACAACACAGTGTGCCGGTTTCTCATTAGAAATCATTGCCTATGCCTGGCTATTCGCGATTCAAGCTAAGTGATACGCCCTCTGGAGGAAATTAGTAAAAGGTCCCTATAAGTAGGATGACGTTCAGTGTTGCCAGAAGCAGCAAAATTTCGTTACGTCGTCGGATTTTAGTTCTTGAAGAAATGGATAAGACCTTTTATTTAAGAATCAAAATTTGTGTCTAGTAATATGTAATCATACTATTTATTTAAGGATTTTTTTATAAAATCGATTTATTATATTGATTTTTTTTTTTTTAATATCAGTTCATTTATTAATTTTAGTTTAAAAATCAGTCAGAGACAAAATCAGTTCATCATTTGGCAACATTGGCGTTCGTGTTCATTGTTTACATTTTAATTTGTATCAATTACAATTAGAGTTTTTTGTTACTTTTTAGCTTTAAATTTGTTTATTTCTTATAGTATGTGATAGTATTTAAATTAAAAATGAAATCTGCGAAAAAGCCTCCAGCAAATTGCAATCTGTATGGTGTTATTGTCAAAATCAAAACTGGAGTATTCATTATTTTTCAAGTGCAAGTCATAAAATTCTGTTTCTTACGATAAATGGGTATCTACAAATTCACAATATTGAAATTTTGCAAAACGTTGTTTAGAATTGTTTATTACCATTTACATGTATACAAAGTACTACACAATTCACTTCATGATATAAGAATAAGGATAGTAAGATTTTTAAAGAAGTTCATCAATAATAAACGTTTGGTACCTGATATGTCCTTTAAACCACATAATAAAACATGTCCTGGGTTTAGTAAATACGTATTTCTAGATGTTCTTGTAGCAACCAATAGGTCAATATTTCCAACAAATTAGTTCGTACTACACATGAAAAATTACATTTATAACGAAAGCACGAAAACTAAACTTAAATTAACACTAAATGAAACTCAAAAACACTATTATAATAAGAATATTATCTAAAAACAGTTAAAAAATCACAAATACAAAATCCCACAACACGTAAATAAACAAACATCCTACTTATACGTGACAAATGACAGGCGCGCGAAAATTAATTTGAATCGCGAATACTGCATTCTCAGTGTGTCCCGAACTATATTAACATTAACTAACGTATGTCTATCATAAATCTGAACTGTGAGACCAAGATCATCGACTTACATAGCTCCCTTGAACCAAAGATACTTGGCTATAGGTTTGTTCAATGTATCTTGTATCATTGGAAGTATTCTTGACAATGACGTAGTTGCCAGACCCTCGAATGCGCGACTTTTAAAATGAACACGATTACAAAACTGCTCTGGCTTATATTTCGTGTAAAATAAGAATAGCAATAGTGAATATTATGTAATAAACGCTTTTTTTTTGTAAATATAAACCGTTTGAGGTTCCTATTTCTAAATAAATGGGACACGATAAGAAAAATCTTTATTAGAATTCACGTAACAACAATACATAGGAATATTTGCTTTCAATAACCACGTTACAATACAAGCAATTGTGGGAGGTGATGGCACAATATTTTTCAGAACTTTTCTAATAGCACACATATTTAAAAACAATCAATCATATCTTTATTAAATTCTCAATGAAATACCTACATATATACGAAAAATACAATAGTATTACAAATTGAAAATAATATTTTTTTATTGATCCTTTATGCACAGGACAAGTCAATATATTTGAATACAAAAATAAATATACAAACAAAACTTAAACATAATTTATATGTACTATCTTCATACTATCATCAGAGTATCAATTACTTCATTTTTACTGCACCGATCATTGAAACGTTACTATTTTAGTGAAGTGTAGGGGTAAACCACTGGGAAAATCTTGCACCCTAGCACCTACACATTGTGCCACAAATAGTACGGCTGCTGTACGGTAAAAGAAAGTATCTGCTTCAAATAAAATTTTATAGGAGAGCTAAAAATAGGCCAAAGCGTTGCATGGAGGATATTCCTATTGTAAAAATTTCTTAAGGAAATTTGTTGGGAGTACAGTAATTGTGAAAATATCAACAAAAATGTTGGTTACAACCGAGTATACGTAGTTCACAAAAAGTACACAAATTAAAATTAGGTCGATGAGCTAAAATAAAAGGTGTCACATAGGTCTAGGAAAACAAAAAAAGATCGTTTGCGCGTATTCTTCAACAACAATTTTTTTCTCCGGATCAGCATCGCTGAATTACTGATAATCCTACACAATTAGTACAAAATAGTACACATAATACAGATTGCCCAATCTTTCCCCATTGAAAAATCCTGATAAATTATATCTGGGTTATCTAATTTTGTTTTCACACGGCTGTTGTAACAATTACTGACCACTGTCTGGCACATTTAAACCCTAAAAAAAAATGTTATAATTAGTTAAAAACAATCATTTTGGCCATTGTAGAATTTATCTATAATAAAACTAAGTTGATTTACCAAAATACTTTTTATAAAAATTCTTTAGAAAAGTCCAGTCAATTAAAAAGTTACAAAAACAATCAAAAAATTACTAAAAACCATGTACAAACGTATAAGTTTAAATAACACAAGAATTTATAAATATCTGGTACGACAATGACGTGACACAGTGAAACGTACATACTAGATGGGGTTGACCAATCCTAATATAGAAGTTAGTATCCTTGCCTTGAACCTTCTCGAACCCTCCAGATGTTTCTTGATACGAAAAAACATTTCTAAACTGTTATCTCTGCTTCTTTTATTCGTACTTTTACTTATGTTAACCGCAGTAGACTGCAGAGTAATAATATAATAAAAAGTAATTATAATAATAACAACAACGTCTAAGATCATAAAGATAAAACAGTATAAAATAACTCAAAAAGATATACAGAAAAAAATATAAAAAATATTAATACCAAACTGGTAAGAATCAAATTAAGCATATGTAGCCCAAAGCACTTAATAATTGAAAGCAAGATATGGATTTGCCAGTAAAATATTACTGATTCGTATAACATAAGTCGATGGACAGAATTACGTACCATATCAAGTTTGATTTGCACCGCAAATATCGAGAAGTGGCATGTGTACTCTTCATCTAGTTTTTATTTGATTCCAAACACGTGATATGATATTATATTATTTACTAAGAGAATCAGGATATATCCATTTACTGATAAAAAATTCCAATCTTAACATGACCTTTGTGACTAAACTATAGATTATTCGACTTTTGTTAATGTTATTAAAGAATTATTCATTTATTTTCATGGTACTACAATGAAAAAATCTCGAAGAAAAAATATATGAGAAAATTAAACAAAATTTACTCTTTTGGAAAATTATAGAACAAAATTAACCCCCTCAATTATATGTTACTAAAATGTTATACTGTGTTGCTAACCACTTTAAGAGATCATTATAGCTAAGAGAAAATACAGTTCAGTGTTTATGATACGCAAAATTAAATTTATCAAATCTCTATAAAAATTTGTCATAAAATGTATTTTATATATTTTTATGAAGAAATTAGTTGACCTCTTTTGATGTGACACTTCTTATAAATCTTTGTGCTTAAAACAATACGTAATTGTAGCAAAAATCTAAGAAAATGTATGTCTGTTAATATTTTGTTTTTATAAATTTGTAGGATATAAAAAATATTCAACTTGAAGAAATACCCAAAGAACGAGACGATGATGAAATGGATGTCTCGGATGATGATGAACCATCGAAAAAGAAGCAAAAGACTGATTTAATTCCAGAAAGCAAATCGTTAAAAGAAGAAAATGATGTGTTAAGATGTCAAATTGAAGCTTATAAAAATGAGGTAAATTATATGAAATACATATCGTCGTCAACTCACAACTTTTCAAGAGAGCGTTTTAAAGTTTTTTTTATAAAGTTACGTCTCTTCGTAATATTATCATAAACACCGGTTAGATACGTGCTATTTTAATAAATGTAATGAATTGAAATTCGCAATTTCGTGAAATTGTAGAGCTTACTTTTTTACATAATACATGACTTACCTCAATTTTCAATTTTTTCGAGTTACGTCACTTTGTGATATTAACGACGATATTAATTAGAACTTGCATACAAAACGATGCTAGTTTACAAATTTTAATTTTTTTTATACCCCGAATGAAATGTATATAACCCAGCTGGCACAAAAACATCCCATCTACGTTAAATAAGCTGCAATTTTAGGTTCTTTAAGCTCGCATGCAATGTACTTTTAATGTAACCCTAATATCCATGCAACCGCCGAATGTCTGCAACGGCAATACTTTTATAGCACATCTCATAGAGGTTACAAAGTGAAGTAACGAAAACATTACACCAGCACATTTACGTTACTTTCCCCGAAAGTTGCTCTGAAACGTTTTATAGATGTTATAATGTGAATTCATTCTACAGCATTATACAGTGTGTCCACGGATGGATTTAACTACTAGTAAAAATATTTATTTTAAATTTATAAAAAGTAATTCTTCATAATTTCTTTTGCTTGTTAAATAAATACGATTAACGTTGAAAAATTATGAAAAAGATCTTTATTGATAAATTTAAAATAAATATCTTTATAGTATAGTTAGGTCCATCCTTGGTGTCGTCGGGTCTCGCTCGGGTGAAGGTCGTTTTGCCCTGACCCCGCCATTTCGCTAAGAAGGGGTCGTGAGGGAGATATGACCGTACTGGTGGATAATTCGAAGAGCGTAGCGAACTCCTCGAAATCACCAACACTGTGAAGCACTTCACCAGGGAAACCTCCCCCTGACCTACATTTGCCGTGTGTAGGCCGACGCTCGATGGGGGTATATGATGATTGAAGTCCCAATTCAAACGGGTAGGTTCGGACCCAGACGGCGGGGATTTGGCAAACCGTCGGGTAGTGTCGTTAATTGGAAAGTTATAAAAATCATTTAAATTTCTGCGTATGTAGGTATTTCATTCGGGTATAAATGATTTACGGAAATATGAATGTTCGAAATTGTTCCCGTGAGAAAGAGTAACTAGTCTCCGAACTTTAGGGAGATTTAGGATGACTTCGTGATTGACTATTTAGTGACAATTTAATATTAAAAATTAAAATAACTTTTCTGACTTTCGAGTACGAATGCCAGATGTAAAACCACAAGTACTTGTGTCGACGTAAGAGTGACTCTATATGTGTGATTGTAAAAATTATTGTTTGCGGATTCGATTAATTGGGGTACATGTATGGTGTTCATACACATAGGGTATCGTTGCGGAGCTGCAACTCGGGTAAGAATTGGATCGACGCTACGGGACCCTATGACATTGGACACACTATATTATGTAAAATAGTATATTGAGAATATAGTAAAATTTGAATAAAACAAAATAAACAATTGTATAAATTTATTACTAAAAAGCTTTTGAAATCAAGTACCAATATCATACAAGTAGAGGTAGGTATTAATAATATAGGTATATCACAAGGTAACACAATTACACATGTGTGATAGATACAATAAGGTAGCTATAAAAAATTGACCAAAAGTAGGTATAAACGGCATATAAGGAATATCTTAAAGGTTCACTAGTACCTAAAATGGTGAACGATTGTACAAAAGTAGTAAAATAGTATATTACGTAACAAGAGTTGCCCATTACGCACGAAGTGCGTAATGGGCTTACAACTCGTGTAACGTACTATACTTTTTCTACGCCCACTTATTTTCTTCTATTAAATAAAAGACATATGCCTGTGTCGCCAATCCATAAATTTTCGATAGGTAATTTTGTACCTTTTTTTGGATTTTTTTTAGATATATTCATAGGTAAAGTTAAGAAAATTTTCGTATACAATATTTTGTATAATGTATAATGTGTTGCCGACATTTAGGGGCATAACTTTTTAATTCAAAATATATCTCGCTAAAACTAAAAGTTTTTTGTTTTTCAATTCACTAAATTTATGTAAATGAACCAAATAAAGTCTTACGTAGGTAAAAATTTGATTGCAATTTAATTAAACTAAGAAATTTAAATTTTCTTATCAAAAAGCGCGTGCATGTTTTTGTTAAGTCATTTACAAGGAATGTTGACAGTGCGATTTTTAACGTTTACTGACATGGGCGTAGAAAAAGTGTATTTATATAAAGTATAGTTCAAAGGTCACTAGATTTTTATTAAGATGGCAGTTGTACGATGCTAACAAAAGATATTCACCTATAAGTGAAACTAGTCATAGTTTTAATATAAATGTGAACTTAATTACATAGTTTCTTCTGTGAAAAATAACTTTGGAGGTAATAAATTTACTTGTTTAACTATTATTAAAGAAAATAATATATATAAAGAAAATGAAAAATATGCTCGTTTAAATCGTTGCACCTATTTTTAGTGGATTTTTACTTATTTTGTTGTTTTAAATAAATAATGAAATTTATTTTGATTTTTATAAATTTGATGTTTAATAATGGATGTCCAACTTATACAGAGCTTTTTATAAAAATAATGTTTTTTAGCACGATATTCTGCTATGAAAGAAAAAGAAATAATTTGAGTTGTTATATATTCTTCTTTAACCTATTTTGTATTATTTACTTTAGCTTCTAAAATTCCTGAAATTTTTACTAGAATTATAATCCAACACAAAGGAAACTTACAACATAATATTTTTAAAATGTATTTTTACCCATGCAACATCATGCCGTCATTATGACGTGATTTTTTGGTGTGCGTTACGTCATTTGATGACGTGAAAATAACGTTATGGTAACGTGAGAATGTCACAGCGAAATGACGTCATTCCATATCGTCATTTTGACGAATCGATATCACGTTAAATTAACGTGTATATCGGGTGTCCTAGGCTAGGCAAATTGACGTCATTATCACGAATCTACCTAACGTCAAAGTGACGTCTATATTGGGTGTCCCAAGGTTGGATGGAATTATTAAAAATACTAAGCAGATTAAAGTTATTTATTTAATCAAAAAAACACATGAAACATATATTATAAAAAATAAATTACACTGGTAAATAAAAAAGTCATGTGCAAGAAACCAAAAGGAATAAAATGACAAAAGAATATTAGAGGAACTGACACAACATACCTAAAATTGTAGATTTGATTTTAATTGAGGGTGGGCAAGCATGCTTTACGATTTCATTGAATGACAGCTTTCTAGTTAGCACCTGTTTTTTTTTTTTTAGTTGGTACTTTATCAGCCTCGGAATGTAGATCAGAGGTAACTCTGACTTTTTTGAATTTGGTACATCATTTATCATTATCATCTAAAATAAATTATAACTGTAAATTCTTAAAGATAGAAAGTAAATTGTGTATCTAGTTGTAAAATTTGAGGGGATTACTTCACCGGAGATTGAGGTAGTAGCCCCAAAACCTACCTTCTCAGAGATATACATATAGTCTGAGTTTATAATAAAAGTTATTAAAAAAAAGATCATATATTCTGTGAGACGATAAAAGGTATCTAAATCAAGTGACCCCCTACAAATCTTTTATTTTTAAATAAACTGTTAAAAAATACCCTGAAAGAACTCATAATTAAAAAATAAAAGTATAACATTACTCACCAGTCTTATATTATATTTCTTTATATATTTCTTTATAAAGGCGGCCAAGACTTGTTTTTTACGCAGCATCAGCCATTTTCTGCTCACCTCACAACCGCCAGACCGTCATCATCCGGCTTATCAAACTCAACAATGTCATACCTACATCTGTAAAATACCAAATTCGGTTTAATATACTTTATTATTTTGTCATATTCTATTTTTTACCTTTTTCTTAAACATCTTATCAAATAAAGTACAATTTAAAAATGCACCACGTTCACGAGTTCACGGCTGTCACAAGAATTATGAAGATGGAGGAAACAGGAAACCACAATGACAATTGACATATGACATTGCCAGAAATTACGAAAAAATTACGTAATTAAGACGAATTTTAAGTGATCAATGCGACGTCAAATACACGTTACTGATTAGGATATTGTATTTCGGATAAATTAATACTAAAAAATTACGTCATAATGACTAGTCTGTCTTGACGTCTAATTAACGTAACAAAACCGACGTCAAAGTAACGTCGATAAATGGGATAGTGACGTTTCTGACGAGTAAACCCAAAAAATCAATTATTTCGAAACAACAAATTTTCAGATAGGACCTTTCTTGGCAGTATATGACTTCTGTTTTTGTATTTTTATAGTTGGGAGTAGGGTTATGAGTATCGGTCGAAGGTATCGATACCGGTATCATGTGAGATACTTTGTGGTAGAGGCATCGATACTGTTCGATATTGTGTTAAAGATATCGATATATTTATTAGTATCGAGTAACAAAGTATCGAACAAGTAAAATATTTTTTTATTAGGCCGACTACCCCCATTCAACAGGGTGAAGTAGGGAACTTAACTAAAAACAAGAGTTTCATCAGTAAATAATATTCTGTAGTTTATAATTGTTAATGACACCCTTTATTATTATTTGTTTTTTTTTTTTTTAATTATGCGGCGTGTATTTACTGTTTAGTCTGAAATTATATGAAACGTACTACTGATTGAATTGGTTGTTTTATTTTCCGCGTTTTATAGACGTTTCAATTATTCTGTGAGATCGGCTTTAGGTGGCGCTCAGCATATAACACACACACACACACTCGCTCACACACACGCGCGCACACACACACACGCGCGCTCGCACACACGCACGCCCCCACACACACCACACACATATATAGCGGGTGTTCAAATTAAAGTGTTACAGCTAAATACCGCCTTTTATAAATAAAACGTTTCAGACGAAAGTTTTATAGTTTTGTGGGGAAATTTTTTGGCTAAAATCGTTTTTTATAGCTAACCATAATATGGACAACTTTTTTTCGCCCAGCAAAATTTTCAAGTAGCTGTTACTCAAAAAGTAAAAGTCCAATAAAAAAAATATTTCCCTCAAAAGTTTCTTATTTTTTATATATTTTAAGAATATGTAAACAAAGAATGGGGTTCCAATTTAAAAAAAAAGTCCACCTCGATATGGCCATATTATGTCATCTATAAAAAATGATTTTAGCCAAAATGTTTCCCCTAAAAAACTACAAAACTTTTGTCTGAAACTTTTTTTTCTAAAATGCATATTTTCGGCGGTATTTAACTGTAACACTTTAATTTGAACACCCGGTATATATAATGACTCAAGAAGTAACCCTATTTTAACGCACTCCCTGAGCATAAAACTGAACAATATCAGCAGTGACACATTATTTATTTCCTTCCGGGCTTAACAATGACTTTAGTCTAGGCTGATTAATTGATTGGTTTGGTAAACGTAATAAACTCCATGCAATTTTATTGTCGTTCCGATCCCTCTCTGGCCTTTTAGCCTTTTAATTTCCGTGAATACATGTCCAGGTGGTAGGCAGTTTATTTTATTTACCTTTGTAATGTTTTCAAGGCAGTCTTTCACAGGTTGATTGTTCCCGCCTAATTAATTAAAGACTTCTGATCTTCTATCTTGACATTCTTGACCTGTGAGTGAGTAATGTTAGCTTTAAAATCATATTTATTTGTGACTATTTTAGAGAATTGAAAAAAAAATTGATAACTGATATAAATAAAAATACTTTTCACAGCAATTACGTTGAATAAAACTCGAATTTACAATCAAATTATCAAAACGCTGATCACATAAGTGATTACCCAACAACATTTTGACTTAATACTTTTTTTAGGTTGAAGTACTTAAAATGGATTACGAAAAAGAAATAGATGAAAAAGACAAGCAATTCAAAGTGCTCCAACAAACTTTACAAGGTATGCAACAGCAACTGATAGACGCAAAGAAGAGACAAGGCGAGGAAGAAGCAAGAGTTAAAGACTTACAAATAAAACTAAAAGTAGAAAAAGGACGACAACTTAATGATAAAGATGTTGTTATAATAGATAGTAGCGATAACGAACAATGTGATTCTGTTAGTCTGGTTGAAAGTCCAATAGAAAGTGTTCAAAATTTTGTAGAAAGCGATGCCAAATTAGTAGGAATAATTTCTACGTTTTTAAATGTACATCCATTTGGAGCTGGTTTAGATTATATTTGGTCTTATGTTAGTAAGATTGAAGCCAATCTCAGGCCGTCTGAAATAGAATCTCTAATGAATAGATTTCCATCAGTATTTAAACAGGAATTGGTTGGTATAGGAGCCAATATTGAAAGAAGATGGATCTTTATTGCTTTTAATTCCATATCAACTGACAAGAATTAATATTTATTTTAGATATAGAACATGCAACGCACAAACTGATAGTTCATTGTGATTATGTTATGTTATAATAAATTGTTTTCTTAACTGTTTCTTTGGAGTTTTATTATGTTGATTAAAGAAAATTAAAGTTTTAAGAGTAATAAATAATGCTTCTTCGTCTTATAGCTGCAACAGAATGAAAGAAACTAGAATTTTGATAATAAAGGGAAGGAAAACTACTAATCTTTGAATTCCCAAAGTGAAAACCAATTTCATAGGGATAATTTAAAAAAAATGTATTCTGGAATTTTCATAGAATCTACTTTGTTTGCCTAGCATTTTGTTGCAGCATATTTACGAAAACTTTACAAACAAATGCTTCAATTGAATATCCACATCGGATGCATAGTGATCACGTGATAAAAATAACAATGATAAATTAGAAGTTTTATACTTTTTCCGTTTTATTTTTGAGTTGTTATGTTTGTATAATCTACACTGAGCAAAATGCGCCTATTATATGTTTTTGCTGTGTTTCTGATAATTGCTATTATAAAAAATCTAATCGTAATAACAAAAATCAAATAATCCTTATGGAGTGCATAATTGTGTCTAAGGCTTTAGATCCTCTTTTTCCCTCAAGCATACATCATGAGCCTTTAGAAATTAATATAATAACCCATGACTCCCATTTAAATCACATTGCGGAAGAGTGGTATTTTGATTTTCGAAACGCAGATTTTTTCAGCATTAACAACTTTTTTGCAGACGTTGAATGGGATGAAATGTCTTTGTTAGGTGCTAATGAAGCAACTGAATTTCTTTATGACCAAATTTATACGGCACTCAATTTATTTATACCAGTGAAAAAATATTCATTATCCAATTTTCCTTGTTGGTTTAATGTTGAACTTAAGAAATTAGTAGCTGAAAAAAAAAAGAGTTCATAAGAAATACAAGCTATTCAATCAACACCACGATTATATTCTATTTAGTGATTTACGTAGGCGGTGCAAGGAACTATCTGAAGTTTGTTTCAAAGAATATAACAGAAAGATGGAAAATAATATTAACACTAATCCTAAATATTTTTGGAGCTACATAAATAACAAAAGAAAAGCCCATGATCTTCCAAAATCCATGACCTCTAATAACTCTGAGAGCTTCGATGATATTGTCAGCATTGTGAATGAATTCGCCAAGTTCTTTTCATCAGTTTTTTCTACCGACAATGTACAAAATTTACCTTCAAATAATTTTAAGAATACTGTGAATATATCAAACTATCAAATTAATGTAATCGACATTATGGAAAAAATTAACAGTCTACCATCGACATTTTCCCATGGTCCAGATGGGATTCCAACTTATTTTTTAAAAAAGTGCATTTATACTTTGGTTAATCCTCTAAAAATCGTTTTTAACATATCCCTTAAATCAGGAATCTTTCCAAATTTCTGGAAACATAGTTTTTTGAAACCAATTTATAAATCGGGCCCAAAAGAGAAAATTGAAAACTACCGAGCTGTTTGTATCCAGTCCGATATTCCTAAAGCATTCGATTATCTCATGAGTAAGTTCTTATCTTGGGAATGTAAAAACATCATCATTAATGAACAGCATGGTTTCTGTCCTGGTCGGTCAACAGTGACTAATCTCTTGCTTTACAACACTTACATAATTAATGCTTTAGAAAATAAGTCACAAGTTGACTCGATCTATACAGACTTCTCAAAAGCCTTTGATCGAGTAAACCATAAACTTCTTATAAACAAACTAAAAAATATTGGAATATCGGGTGTCATGCTGACATGGATTCAAAGTTATTTAACAAATCGTTTTCAAAGCGTGAAAATTGCGGGTGTTGTATCTCATGAGATTACAGTTCCTTCAGGTGTACCTCAAGGTTCTCATTGTGGACCTATTCTATTTAATCTGTTTATTAACGATATTTGTGATACATTAAAATTTAGCCAATACCTACTTTTTGCAGATGATTTTAAGTTATTCAACTCTATTAATTCACATTCTGATATAATTGAATTGCAAACAGACCTTGACTCCCTGAATATATGGTGCAATCTAAACCAAATGGATCTAAATATTAAGAAGTGCTTCTGTATATCTTTTAGCAAAATTTTGTCACCCATCATACATGACTATCAAATTAACAATCATAGTGTGTCAAGAGTTGATACCATTAAAGATTTAGGTGTCATGATGAATAGTAAATTGTCTTTTCAGGCACATATAGATATGATAACAGCAAAGGCATCAAAACTATTAGGTTTCATTTCTAGGTCATCCACGGATTTTTCTGCTTATACGTTCAGAACGATGTATTGTTCTCTAATAAGATCACAATTAGAATACTGTTTGATTATTTGGAATCCATATTACAATACTCATAAGCATCAAATTGAGACTATTCAGAATAAATTCTTGAGAATATGCGCCTATAAAATGGGTTATATAAGAGGAGATCGGTGTTCTCGAATTGAGGACCACTACCTGCACAGACCAAATAAGTGCACCGAATTGCGGACCGTACTAAGGATTAGGGATTAAGGTGGTAATGAGGGTTCATTGCGTTAACTAGATTACTGAGAGAGATTTTTGTACCTGGAAATATGACACGAATTGAGGAACAAACTTCTCAATAATTGAAGTATCTTATCACTATACCCATTTATAATATTATTATTTGTCTTCTGATGGATTTGCAAAATTTGAAGAAAAGTACGAATTCAGATAAAAATAGATATTTATTGCACAATTTACAATTTATAATTAATTTTTTAAACATATACATATTATTTACATTTAATACACTTTATGATAATTTGATGCGAATTTTACAAAATCTATTCGTTTTATAGAACCATTTTTATATTCTAACATTTTTGAAGTTAACATATTTAATCTTCGTCTAACAATTTTGTTGTTACATTTAACAGACTCCTTAAGGCTGTTAATACGAATATAAGTATCTGTTTGAAAATTGTTCAAAACATTTACAAATAAATACAATGAAGGGTGCATTGAATAGAAATTTGAATTAAATCTAGAATGAAAGGACTCGCATGCATTGGTAGAATTTTCTGTAGTTACAACAGCTTCAGCCCAAATTGTTGGTGGAAATAAAGAATTTTCTTCAATATAATTCTTTACTAAATAGTCAGCTAAATTTACCACAGCTTTATGCATATGATCGGGCTGAAATTCAGCCAAATCCAAAGCAAAACATTCTCCAACTTCTTCGGGTTTTAAAAAAGACAATCCAAAAAGATACCTCATCCATTTTCCAGTTGCACTTTTTTCATCTTGGTATTCTTTAGCCAATCCCAAACTCTGTATTTTTCTGTACCAAGCTTGGCCAAGATGAAACCTACATCCAATGATCTTTGTGGTGGGCCATTGCGCAGAAATTGCTTTGTGAATAGCTAGTTCATAATCAGCTACAATAATTTTTGGAACAAATATTAAATTAGCATTACAACACTTTTCTTTAAGAATAACGAAAAGTATTTCGTATGTTAAACGAAGTTTATTCGGTAATAAACAAAAAGCTACTGGTATATAATGGCCGTTTTCTACGATATGAAGTGTGAACAACTGTAAAAAATGTTTCGTACAATATCGAAATGTTCCATCAAGATACACTTTGTCACTACTACACAAAAATTTTAAATTAGTATAGCACGAAAATACTACAATATTGTTAATATTATCAGTGGCCAAGAGAAATGGCTCATTTTTAATTGTTGTCAAATTTAATGTTGGTAAAATATCGAAAACATCTGATACATTGCTTGGTAAACGTGCTTGGACTTGACGTCTTTTGTAATACATATTATTTCTTATGTATGTAATGTCTTTTCTTGTCAAAGCGTCCATTGTATCACTGTTTTCCCTTAAAACAGAGTGTATGATTTTCGATGGCCGTTCTGTGATATCTTCTACAGCTTTCCGTTTGCTTGCTACACTCAAAATTTGTCTATTTAATTTCTTTATGTCATTTTCATGATTGTGCACTGTTTCTTTTCGAGAAATTATATTATCTGAACCTAGCGTAAATACTTTAGCGTTACATTTACTTACAGTACAAGTCCAAAACTTTTCACCACTTTTAAGAACCTTTTTTTCACGAAACTTATAATCATCCCACACAAGTAACGACTTTCCCTTTTCACTTAAGATCATTTTAATTTCACTCATTTTTACAAGACTGCTCAAAATAAACTAAACACAAAACACTCACTTCAAATATATATTAGAATTTCGAAAGTAAAGTAATAAAATGCTCGTTAACGCAATGAATCATCATTACAACCTTAATCCCTAATCCGCAATTCGGTGCACTTACTATAATTATTTCTCAGAAGCCTGGTCCTCAATTCGTGTCATATTTTCAGGTACAAAAATAAACCCTTCTTAATATTTTCATTTTGGTTCTCAATTCGTGTCTGCCCGAGGAGATTACTCATATGCTTCAATTAATTCTCAATTAAACTTAAAATCACTTCACTTTAGAAGAACAGTTTCTAATATAATTTTTATAAATAAATTGTTAACAGGGAATATTGATTCTCCCCAAGCAGTAGGTCTTATTAATTTTAATACCTTTAGTAGGACTAGACAATTCGACTTATTTAATATACCACTACATACCACTAATTATGCCTTTAATTCACCAGTAAGTCGAATGTTACGTGAATGTAATAAGTTGAAATGTAAAAATTGTGATATTTTTGGAACTATTAATGCTCCCAGGACTTATTTAAATAATATGGAAGTCTAACATTTTTTTTTGTCTTCATTTTCTAACTGATTTTATAATTGTTATTTGATGCCGTTATATTTTATATTTTGTATAGTATTTTATATTACCTATATTAGTATTAGTTTAGTATTTTGTTAAGTATTTATTTTGCTGTTTTTATTCTAATTAATATTGTATTTTTTTTTAATGGGGTTACCCGTGAATAAATAAATAAATAAATTACAGTGGCAAAGATGGT